GGCGGGGTACCCGGGGCTGGGCGGCGGCGGGGGTCGTCCGGCGGTGGCGGGGTTGGATGAACCCCGCGGCGGGGGTCCGGGGTCCGCAGCCTAACACCGGCTTTGCCCCCGGGGTTCCCCGCTCGACAACGCTGATCCACATGCACGCTGCCAACAGCACCTTGAAGCTCTCGGCCACACGACACAGACGTTTGTGTGTGATGCATCCGCTATCGATGGTCTGGTCCGTTTCGACCGCCGTGCTGAATGCCGCGACCAGTCGCATGAGAGTCGCCTCCTGGTAGGCCGCCATGTCGTCATTCACCAGCCTGTCTTCAATGTGCACCCCTGCATACCACAGCGGCAGGTCCATCCCCAGGTCTAGCGTGTGTGCACAAACGGCGGGCCTGGTGACGTTACTCCACTCGTCACCATGCCACATCGTGTGCGCGATGTCGGTCGCCACATATTCCAGTACGTACTGGAAGGTGAGAGTGTAGCCTCTTTCTCTACATCCAGATTTGAACACCCACCCATGCAAAACCCGCAACGCCACATTCTGGAGTTTCAATGCGCGGCTTTGTGCTCCCTGTAACTGCCCTACATCTGTGAGCCTGATCTGCGTGACATTGGATTTGGGCATGGCGACGCTTCTCGGGACGTTCGGGGGAGGAAGGCCGCTTGTGATGGCGACGAGGTGCTCACGTGTGTCGTTGATGATGTTGTAGAGCCTGAGCCCCTCCCCTGACGTCTTGAAAGATTTGTCGTCAACCTGCAGTCTTGCCCGCTCCGCCAGATCTTTCGCCACTCCGCCCTTTCGCACCCTATTGGCGAGAGCCTAGAGGTTCGTCATCCTCGCCCACCTTTCTTTTCTTCGCACGTGCAACCTCCAATGCGCGGGCCACGTCCTCCCCCCTGCGCCCTTCCCCCACCGTCCCCTTTGGTGTTTCCGCCTCAACTCCCACGTCCGCCCTTGTGTGTTGGGCTTGCGGCACTTCCACTGCCTCGCCAGCCGCGGCCGCGACACAAGATCCGGCATTGTCGCCTGTGCGTTGCTGACGCGGCGTCGTCGGCAGTGAGACTGGCTGCTTGGGCGTCGCTCCCCCGATTGCCACCACCGTGCGATTCCTTGCTTGCGTTGTTGCGCCACACGTGACTACCACACCGCCTTCGCCCACCTCCACCCGCGCGTCTTCGTTTATTCCGACGTTGATGATCCGCTCGTCCCTTGTTCTTGCCTGCGCCGCTGATCCCGCAACGCGTGCACGAACGTTGGACGACATGGGCGGCGGCGAAACGTCAGGAGTGGCGGTCGTGAAGATGTCATTGTCGTCGCTTCCACTTGGTCTTCCCCACCCATCCTCGTCCATTTGGGCGCCGCTGAATGACGGCCCCTTTTCGCCCTCGTCACTTGCCGCCCTCCTCCGCCAGGGGCGGGGCAGGCATCTCTACCACCTTGGCCGGACGTCACACTCTTGTCATGTTGTCGGTGTGAAGGTGACGCACCGACACCGACAATAACGGACATATGTGATACGCAACCTCACGCCCCCTTGCAGCTTTCCGTAAGGGGTCGCCGATCAGAGTTCTAAGAGGGGCGTGGCCGAGGATTTTTGGCCGTAAGGTTTGAGTCTCCCGGACGGAACGGGAGGCTCTCGATTCTTGGCCGAGGTTTTTCTCGGAGTCGAACTGTCGTCGCGAAGTCCCGCGGGGGTCGGATTACTCCGAAACGATAAAATCAGAAGGGTTTCTGTTAAAATGAATTGCCGTCGTACATCGGAACGGGAAAAGGCATCAAGGGGAGGAGGCCATGGCGGCAGACGGCAAAAACTCCGGCCGTCATGGGTTATGGGGATAGGTGGTGGGTTCGAAGCCTTCAGGCCTCGTCATCGGCCTCACGAAGTGGCCGAACCCTTGGGTCTTTTGCTGTAAAGGTGGTTGGTTCGAGGCCTTCAAGCCTCGGCGTCGGACTCATAGAGCCCGCGCGAAAGTTTCTGGGAGGGTAAAGCGGTGGGAGGACTCGCCGGCATCTAAATTCGAAATTGCGCCGGCAGCGCCCCCGCACTACGGGAAAGCTCGGGGAAACGTGTCGCTCCCTCGTAACCCAGGACCAACCGTCGCCACGAACACGAGTCCCCCTGGCGACACCAGCGACAATCAAACTGCGGTCGCCACGCGGCGTGAGCGGCCGACCAGGGCAACACCGTTAAACCCGTATAAGGCAATATTAGAGTCGGGGAATCAAAGCGATCAATCAACACAAACCCGTTCCCCCTTATC